GGCCGGTCGCGGCCGGGGGCTGCAGGGCCCCCCCCCGGGCCCCTTGCGGGGGGGCGGAGGGAGGGCTCCTGCCTGGGAAGCCTGGATGATATCACCCCCAAAAAACGCCCGCAGGCGACACCCGCCGCAGGGGCGCGCGTGGCGTCGGGGGTGTAAGTACAGAACTGTCATTAAGGGATCGGGCACGGTTTGCTCTCTGGTGTAGAGCTGGAAAAGCCCCTCACACCGCTCCTTCGGAAAGGAGAGAAGGATCGGCCTCGTATAGTGTGGCAAGGCGCGACCCAGTAACGGGCTGGCTGAGCGTTGGTCCCGCACTGATTTCGGGCAGCACGGGGACCGAAATCATAGCTATCCACGTTCACCGAAGCCTTTGAGGAGAATGTGAGCAGCTCCCGCAGGCCGGAGTGCAGACCCGCTTTTTGCTGCTTTGATTGATTTTCCAGCAGCTGGGGTTCTGTAGCCGGGTTAATGGAGAATTAACTTTTGGCTTAGTTCAGGCGTTGTTGCGTTTTAAATGGCTGCGTTAAAGGAAGGCTGAAGTCCTTTTGAGACTAAATTTCCTTACAGTGCCCTTTTAAAAAACCTGTAATGTATTAAAAGAGAAACCAGCCTGTGTTTCCAGTTGCTTATAAGGATCTTCCTGGCAAGGAGTAAAATGGATGGAGCCTTTTTCCTCCTCAACAAATTGTTCTAGGAACAGAAATACGTAAAATCTCATATTGTTATCCCTGTGTCTGATAAGTTTCGCTTGCTGCAAACGGACTGAAAAGTTTGTTGTTTTAGGTTCAGCGAGATCTAAATGTTGCTGTTGCTGAATTTACTGAGCTGAAGCAGCAGCTGGAGCGAGACACGCTGGTTCTGAGCGTTCTGAAAAAGCTGCAGGAGGTGAGAAGAGGGGGCGGCTTAAAATGATGAAGCAGTAGTCATCCTCTCTGGTGCTCAGCCTGGGGCGTTATTCGGGGCTTCTCTTTTGAATGACTGTCTATGGCTCCGCTGTCTCTAGCTGTGCTGTTTACCAAATTGTAGTCTAGTAGCAGATATACAGTGACGCATGAATCCGTTTGGTCGTTGCAGTTTGATACAGCTATTAAAGAGTACAATACTGCACTGCTGGAAAAGAAGTATGTTGCAGCAGCTCAACAACTGGAAAAGGTAACCGTGACTTCTTAAGCGTACGACAATATTGTTCATATACGCTTCCAGTAAATTTCACGAGGTGCTTTTCGGTAGCAGGGGCAACAGCGACCCATGGTTTGTGTTTGATCTTTACCACCAGGCACGAGGCAGCCTGAAAGCGCTGGAATCCCGCAAGGGCTTTGAGCTGAAGATCCTGAAAGCGCTAGGCACGGAGCTCACGGTGCAGACCCAGAACATGCTCTATCATCTAGGGGAAGAATGGCAGAAGTTGGCTGTGTGGAAGCTTCCTCCTGCAAAAGGTACTCACAATTCTGGTCCGTTTCCCTGTTTTTTGCTTCGCTGTTTGAAATGCCTGGTTTCAGGCTCCTACGAGATAGGAAATACAGTAATACTGTTGAACTGGGGTTGGTTTAAGGAGCTCTTTCTGCCGTTTGCGTAACCTAATGAATGGGAGCGATGAGTGGCAGCGTTCTTTGGATATCGCTCCGCTCCTGCAGCATTTAGGTGCTACCACAAGCAATCTGGTGCAGTCAGTAGATTTTAAACAGAGTTTCGAAGGTTCGTCTGCCTCATCTGTGGTATTTCTTCGAAAACGTTGAAGCAGAGATCAAAAGAGTTGCCAGCCTCCGGGTACACTTTTAGTCTTGTGAAATATCAGAAAAGGGCTGCTCTCTTGCGAAGCTCCTGAGGAGATCAGCTGGGCCAAAATTTCGGGTTGCTTATTATTGAATACCTGGTTCGGCCTAGTAGCTGGAAGGGTTTTCTGAGATTTTGTTCAGCCTGAACGCGTTTCCCCACCAGGCTGGTTTTAAGGATGCTTGCACCTCCTCTGGCAGGTTTTCAGGTTGCCGCTTTTGTTGCGGGCAGCTAACTGCAAGAACTGCTCGAGTTGCTGTCTTCATTGAAACATAAACTTTTCCTTTGGAAAAGAAAAAAACCTCTTCCTTGGGATTTGACTTGAAATGGGGAGAGGAGGGGAAGGAAAGCAATTGTCACTAAACGTCATTCAGTTGCAAAGCGACTGAAAGGAGAATTCTGCATCGTTGTAGGGGACTGATTCTCATTCCGTTGTCCTGCACCGTAAGACAAGGAACTCAGTACCCGCTTCTGACGCTCTTTTACAGGAACTGTGTGTTGTGGAGGTGGGGAGAGGTAGAATATCGCTTTAGCTGCCCCCTGAGGAATGCAGTAGCTTCTCAGATCTGCTGTATCTCAGAGCACCCTCTGACAGAGAGATGGTTCTTCTTTTCCTTTAGAAAGCAGCAGCCTGGAGTCAGCGATGCATTCCGAACTGCACTTGCGCACAGTGCCTTCAAAAGAGGAGGACGTTGCTGGCCCGCCTGTCGCTTCTGTGCTGCAGGCGTTTGCTGTCCTAGGAGAACTGCACAGCAAGCTTAAGATTTTTGGTAAGACAGACCGTGGATCCAGATATACGTAGCTACAGTAGGCCGAGCGGATACCAGTTCGGGCTTGTTTTAAGATGGATGTTGAGATCCAGTTCACTTCAGCAGTCCACTGGAAGACTTCTTTCTCTCTGGGCTTGCGTTTCCCACTGAGCGCGAGGTGAATGCTCTGGTTCTTATCGGTAGGAAGTTATTTATCCTTTATTTATCCAGAATTACTTATCCTTTTCTGTCTGTTTAGTATACTGTTCTGATCTGCGGCTATGTGGTTTCATGGACTGATGCTTAAAGAGTTTTTCCAGTTATAGCCTCCTCATCTACCAGTAGCAGGACTTCTGGTTTCAGGCAGCCTCTGGGCTTCAGCATTCTCAGGAGGTATGGCAGGCTTTCGTGCTTCACGTCCTCCAGGACAGGATTTCATGCTTCTAGCTGTTTAAGTTGTTTTTCACTTTGCGTCAAACGTGCTGCTCTTTGTCAGGCCTCCAGACGTGTTTTACGTGAGTAAAACGGCCTTTAGTGAAACCAGACCCCGCGGTTTACACCTCATGAGCGGTTCCCCGACACAGCTAATCAAGAGAGTGTTTCTTCCTCCTCATGTCTGCATCCAAAATAATCACAGTCGGGCCTCACTGGAGCAAACCGCCTGCCTCCTGCTGTTGGAAAACGTCTTCTTTTCATTTCTCAGGCCAGTTGTTGCTGAAATACATTCTCAAGCCGCTGATTTCATACCCGTCTCTTCAGCCATTCACAGAGGAACAGTCAGATGCGTTCATCCTGCGTTTTAAGTCCGAGGAGCCTAACTTGGATCATTCCTCTCCTATGGAGGTTTTTGAGAAGATCAAGCTTATTTTTGAAGTTCTCCACCAATATCTGCTGAGTAGGTAGTTTCTCCCTTTTGGAATTAGACTGAGATCAATAGCTCGTTCATGTCATTGGAGCAGATGCTTTCTAGAATATCTGTTTGTTAAGCAGCGTTGAATTATGCAGAAGGCCTAAGCAGCTTTTAATGTTAACTTGCTATGCTGTGCTCTTGGATAGCTTGGCGCCTTGTCAAACTGGACTTAGCGGTGACCCAGCATTCACAGAGCTGGGAAAGCGAAGGAGGAAAGTATTTTGGCTCAAAGGGATCAAGGAATTCATTTTTTGGCAAATGTTTTTTCTTATGAACCAGTCACAGGTCTAAAAGGTGGAAGTCACGACGCAATCCAGGGAGTTCCCTCGCTCAGGCTGGTCCCATGCAGGATCTTCCATCGGCTAGAAACCGGCCTGGGCTTTGCCGTTATATTGCTACAATAGCATGAAATGCTATTTCATGAAAGAAACATGCTGGGAAAGCGGGCTCAGTTTACACATAAATTCCGTTGCCTTTTGGTCGGGTGGGCGATTCCACAGGCCCAGCACGTGGCCTGGATAAGAAGAATCCCTCCGTTGTGAGATTGTGGAGCATGTGATAGATGCTGTTCTGACAGGAAGGACGGTGAAGGGTCTGGTCCGGGCAGCAGGTGTATCAAAATTCATTTCTGTTCCCTTGAATTCAGATGTGCCTCTTGAGCAGCCTGTGGAAGATAAAAAGGAGCGCGGAGTTACGCTCGCAGGACTGCTAGGCGATATGATATGGGAAGAGTTATCGGACTGCCTCATTCAGAACTGTCTGGTGAATTCAATCCCAACCAATAGCAGCAAGCTAGAGCAGTATATAGAGGTAGGTCTCAAAAATCTGTCAGGTCCGTGTGGTGGAAATGCCAGATGGCCAGCTAGAACAAAAAGCTGTGTTTTGCTCATCGCGAATTGTGTATTTCTCTCAGTGAAGCTGTGGCTTGCGTTTCCTGTCACGTCAAGCGTGCGAGGGCTCTGATCTGTGGGACTCAGCCATGCTTAGCTAAGACCTGGAGACTTCCAGGGTGTGCGATGTAAGGCACTTGTCTGAGCCTCCGTGAGAGGCTGAAGATGATGGCAGTGCTGCTTGCCCAGCTGGCTTCCCGAGGACTGATTGCTCAGTTTGTATTTGTTGTTAACGATCGCAGGGGTTTCTTGCATAGGCCGCTATTTTTTTTTAAAACTACGTACATAAACCAGAACTTGCTGCTAGCGAAGGATGCCAAGAGCTCCTTTTCCTGGAGAGGGGGCTGTTTCAAACAGAAGCAGTCGTAGGATAAGCCTCCCAGTCCCTTTGCCCCAGGTAGTCCAGCGTAATGAAGTTGATCACCTCGCTCCTCTGGTTTTCTGATCAGGTTGGCAGCGCAGTCAGGGGGACAAACCTGCAGTTCAAACACTGAGTTATTGTGCGAGCGTGGCCCCCAGCTGAGCCAGCTTTTTCCAAAAGATTGCTGAAAAGCTGTTGGATGGTTAGTGCCCCCTAAAACCTAGTTTCATCCTTCGCTTCCAGCCGAGTAGAAGAGTTTATACCCAACTCTAATTTTCTTCTTTGGTTTAGGAACGTACACTAACATAGAACGTGTGTCTGCTCTTCTCAGGTGATTAAATCCACAGAGGAATTCGAAAAAGCCTTGAAGAACATGCAGTTTTTGAAAGGAGACACGACTGATTTACTGAAATATGCCCGGAATGTCAATTCCCACTTTGCTAACAAGAAGTGCCAGGACGTGATCGTGGCAGCCAGAAACCTGATGACCTCGGAAATACACAACACCGTACAGGTGACTGGTGATGCAATACGCTGGTTTTGTATGTGGAAAAGTAGCTTCGCTGTTGAAGACGACTCATTAGAGCAGTCGGAGTCCTTTCTTTTGTGGAGCACTGAATACTCTTGACTATTTGGGGATCTTGGCAAACAACAGTTTCAAAACCTTTTTTAAGTAGTGCTCAAGAGGGTTATTTCACTAACAAGATGTTTCTTAAAGTACGTGAAGTTTGCTTTCATAGGCTTTTCTGGCTAGCGGCATAAGAAAAAGTAGAGAATGACTTACAGAGTTGCTTCTAGGCATGCAACACCACAGAGACTGTTTCGTGGTCTGCTGCGTCGTTCATGAGCCAGGAGACTTCCAGCAGTCTTGGGGGACTTCTGCAGCCTTCTCTTTATCTCGGGTCTTAAACCTCTGTCGTTCAGGGTTTTGTAGTCCTGCGCAGTCTCCTTTCTGTGGGCTCTAAATTACGTTATGCCTCTCTTGTTTTCCCTTAGATCACACCCGATTCCTGCGTAGCCCTACCAAGGCTTCCTGATCCTGGGGCAGGAGATCACTTAAAAACGCAAAAAACTTCCAAACTTCTGCATAAGGACATGGTGAATTTGGAGAACGAGACCAAACTGAGCCAGTACACGTTTTCTCTGCCCACATGCCGCATCAGTTCATCGGTGGAGAAACTGATGGAGCTGGCTTATCAGACACTGTTGGAGGCTACAGCCAGCACCGATCAGTGGTAGGCGTTATATATCCGTGGGTGACTCTTGGGCGTCGGATACTTATTTGCTTTGGGAATGCCAAGCGTCTCTTAATAGATTAAGAGAACTTTAAAAGAAGAGAAGATACTTAAAAATTAGAATCAGTCGTTGAAGTTACTCTCTGTTGTGGCTGGAGGTTGCAGCCCTGGGTTCGTGCAGTAGGCTGGTACGGCAGAACAGCTGCAGACTGCGTTCCCTGCAATACTCGGGTTAAGCAGCCTTTCAGACTTACGTTTTCGGGAACATTCGGGCACGCTTTATTGTATTTTAGCTATTAAAGCAGCGAAAAGACAGTAAACTCCCTAGCACGCACAACGCGGTTCATGGCTTTAGTCTTTGAGTTGGGAGAAACACTACTGCAGTGTTCACTTCAACGTTTTATCCTACGTTAGCTGTCAGTTGTTTAGAAAAATCACAAACATCTCTTTTTTTCAAACGAAATGATAAGTGATGGCACCCGTTCTGAGAGGAGTTCTTGCTTGCTTTGTGCTGGGTGAAAGCAAAGAACTCCAGCTCTGCATCTGGCAGGGCTTTTGAGAGAAAACAGTTAAGCGTTTTGAGGAACCGCATGCAGCCTGCTTTAAAAACTGGAGACCACAAGCCTGAAGAAGGAGAGTTGCCTGGGTACTGAATGCCTTTCAGTGTACCACGGCAGAGAGAGGGCTGGCTCTTTACGCACGCCTGGTGGGGAAGGGACACTGTCCCCTTTGTTCCTGCGGTTTCATATATCTCCCTTCTGACATGTGGTCTGAAGCTCGTCTTTTCCACACTGAACTTGGAAGGTCATCAGCGCCTTTGTGAATTTTCCAGAATGTTGCCTTTGTTGACATCGCTGCAATTGATCCTGACAATCTGCTCTTTGTGCCGGTGCTTCGCTGCTAGTGCTTCGCTACTAATAAAACCTTGTTTTGGAGAAGGCTGAGGTTCGCTTGCGAACAAGACGTTAATTCCACTGACAAACTAACATGAACCTCGTTTTCCTTGCAGCTGTATACAGCTCTTCTACTCTGTACGGAACATATTCCAGCTGTTCTATGATGTAGTACCAACATACCACAAGTAAGTGTGTGCGCGTGCATGTTACTTAGGGCCTGTTTTGGGGAGAGAACAATGCTATTGGAACAGCCCCCCGTGTCCCCGGTTTGTCCACCACAGCCAGAGATTACTAAAGACTTCCTCCAACAGCAAAAAGTTAGCGCTCTTAATCTATTATGAAATTGTACCTGCTGCAAAGTAGGTGCTTGAGGGTTTCTGAGTTGGCAGCCTTATCACCAAGGAGGTAGTTGCAGTTCTTGTGACAGTTGTGTTTGCATCCAGCCACGTCGCTTTGACCCCAAGTCTGATGCGGAGATTTTCCTTGATGTTTTTCCTGTAAAAAAGAGCAGCAATGAAGATTGAGAGTATACAAAATTCTGTCAGAGAACGCTGGCGTGTTACTGAAAAGGATTTCTCGCTCTTTTCCTCGCCGTAACTTTGCTATAAAAAAGCGTCTTCCTGTCTGAAAGCCTGTTGCTACAAACAATGTGGATATAACACATGGTTCGACCCCCGAAGTGCCGTTTCAGTAGCCATGAAACTCCTTTCCTGCAAGTTCTTGTGTGGACGTGACGGGAGGTTAAATGCTTTTATTCCGACAGAAGCCTTTGTCAGGCATTGCCCACGGTTAGTTCGGTCTGAGACAGACTGTGAGTTTCTCTAGGGGAGGCGTGACAATTTTTTTACCGGAGCCAGATCCAAATAAATGCATTTCTTCCTTTTCTCTTCCTCCTTCCTGGGACAGGGAGAACCTTCAGAAATTACCCCAGCTGGCAGCCATTCACCACAACAACTGCATGTACATTGCCCACCACTTGCTGACCCTGGGACACCAGTTCCGATACCGCCTGACCAACATCCTGTGCGATGGAGCAGCTACTTTTGTAGATCTGGTACCTGGTTTTAGGAGACTTGGTAATTTTACCTTTCGGTATTGAAATATATTGATGAACGACATGGTCGTTAATCCTGGCACTTGTTGCCGAATGATTTAATGCAAGTGTGGCTACTGACTCAAGCAGCGGATTGTTATCGAAGAGTTTTGGACAAGCAGCACGGACATTTTCTAGGCTGGGAAGGCTGACGGAGCATTACGACTCTAAGCGTGGCTGTTTAGGGCTTGACTTTGAAATCCAGCTCTTCTTGTCTTGGAACGTACTTCCAAGAAGAGCTCATTATCCAGCAAGATGTGGTGGCACTCAGATAATTTGGGATCTGCTGCTCAGTCCTCTGATATTTTCTTTAGCTTATTCTATGGAAACAAATTCTGAGATCAGTCTGTACGAGCCCAAGAGGAGCCTGGCATCCGTAGTTCATTTGCTACTCGGCTCTTTTTCAAAAGGGTTGCAGCAACGCAAGCTGCGCAAGAGCTTACCGAATACGTGACTGGGCCTGGTTAAATTTGCTCCGTGAGGCTGTTTAGAGACTGGAAACTCCCTTAAAAAAAAAAACATTAGAGCAAGTTCCGTATTCAGTACTTACAGTCTCTAAATTGGCAGAGCAAATGTAGTAATTGCTTAATTGCTTCTCTCTGCTTGTTTTTGCTCCTAAAGGGATGGAGTGTTTTCTGGCCCAGATGCGAGTGCAGAAAGGAGAAATCCTGGAGAGGCTGTCAAGCGCCAGGAATTTTTCTAATATGGACGATGAGGAAAATTACTGTGCCGCAAACAAAGCGATAAGGCAGGTAAGCAAGGCGATCCAAGCCAAATATCCCGTTGTCTGTAGACGTCATCCTCGGGAAGGTACAGTGTGTAATCTCGGTCCTGAGAACTGTGCAGTGTTTCAGCAGGGTGGAACTTTTCAAAACAACGGTTTTCTGGCCTGATTTTTTTTCCCCTGGGCTGTGTCTTTTTGTCAAATTGCAGCATACTGAATTCTGTTCCTCTTGCTCCAAGTCGAAATGAAAAGCTTCTTAATCCTGAACTTTTGTTTGCAGTACCTTTGTAATGTTTTTATTGTTCAAGGAAAAGATCCGTCACACTTTTGAGGAGCCTTAATGCAAACTGAAAACGTTGCATTTTTTCCCGGGAACGTCTGCTCTGTGCGACAGCAGGATGCTTCATTGCCTTTTGCTTCTTTCAGATTGGTTTCTGACCGTATGTAGCCACCTTATCGTTGGCGCCTCTCTTAACGTTCTGTTTGATAACGTGTAGATGACGCGCAGCGGCTGTCTTCCAGGTACTGCATCAGTTGAAAAGACTGGGAAAAGTCTGGCAAGATGTCCTTCCGGTGAACGTGTACTGCAAGGCTATGGGGACTTTACTGAACACAGCTCTCTCGGAGATCGTCGCTAGGATTGCTGCCCTCGAGGTAACTGCACGAGATGCACGTGCCAGGCATAGGCTGGCGCGAACAGCTAGCATTTGTGACCCCTAGAAGTTCTTCCCAAGACTGGGTTTCAGGGGAGCAGTTGTCTTTCACAGAAATTATATTGTGGTCCTGTCTATGAGGAACGCTCCAGCTACCCATAACTCACAGCCAGTTGAGACCACATATGCTCTTACAGCGATTCCATGACTGTGGTCAAGGGGAGAGTCAGGGAAGCCGCTGTGATTTCGTCTTAGTTCGGATTTAGGTGTGTCATTCCCACTATATACATTTCTAAGAACCGATCTCTCTTTTTGTTCAGGGCGCAGGAGTTAACTGTTGTCGCAAACTCCACCTATTCCGATACATTTTCAGTCTGTGCGTCGCTAACGAACCTCTCCGTCCTATCTAGGCACCAGATGCCGAAATACCTGTGGCATTTCAAACCGAAATTCTCATCCACTTAAATCTCTACTTGACTCCCAGTACTCTGTTTAAGTGATTGTCAGGTTACCTCACGTCAAGTGCAACTATCCTATTACGTTTCTTAGTTAAAATATGTTTTCACAGCAAACGATAGAAGTACGTTAGCGCCTCTGTTCTAGTTGTAATCTACATCCAAAGAGCCTTCCCGCTGCGCATTGGGCCACTAAGTCCTCTTTTCCCGCAACACCTGGCTTACGGGACGCTCGCTCAGGCTGCGCCTGCCAAAAAGCTTGGCTTTCATCGTTGGGCTGGCAACGCCTGAGCGGTTCCCGTGTGAACTGTTCAGGCCTTCGTCATGACACCTCTGCTTCACAGCGACATGCTTGCTGTTGCACTGAGAGACCGTTTAGAAGCACAACCGCTGCTCCGAGCGATTGCTGAGAGCTTGCCGAAATAGCTATTCGTGAAATAAGTTCTATCAGCTTAAGAACATTAAACGCGCTCTAAACCGCTGCTTTCGCCTTCACGCACACAGCCACCCTTTTTTTCATTTCGCTTACTGCTTGGCGCTCCAAAAGCGCGTCTAACCGCTCCCTTGGTAACATGTGTTCAATTCTAGGATATCTCTGCCGAAGACGCAGATAGGTTGTACTCCCTCTGCAGGACTATGGTGGAGGAAGGACCCCAGGTTTTCACCCCGCTACCTGAAGATGACAGAAATAAGAAATACCAAGAGGAAGTCCCAGTCTACGTGCAGAAATGGATGATGTTCAAAGAGCTGATGATCATCTTGCAAGCCAACCTCCAAGAAATAGTCGATCAGTAGGTGTCGTCTTTTCTTCCTTTGCGGTTAGCTCTTCACCCCGGTAACAGGGAGCTGGGAAGCGGTCTGACATCAGCAGGGCGCCGCGCTCAGCGGACTCTGTTCGGATGAAAGGCGATCACCGTTGAGAAGGATCAGACAACTGCACCCGGGGCAGTTTCTTGGCTGCGTGCTTATAGTTCACGTCAAGCTTGCTCGTACCGTCAGCTGCCTCCTGCAAAGGAAGAGGCGCTGGTAAAAACCCAGGTGCCGTGGGAGAGCCAGCCGCAGCGCGATCGTCCATCCCCCTTGGCTTCTCTAAGTTCAGAAGCGTTTCACGGCGAGCAGCCTGGCGTTTCGCCTACTGCTTTTGGTGTTAGCTGTGCCTTTCTGCTGCAGCCCTTCCCCGTGATCGGCCTCTGCTCGCTAGATGCCGTTTCTTGCTGCTTTGAACTTGCAAGGGGGATTCATCCGAATTACGCGCGAGGATTTGCGTAATTACTTCCGTCGCTTTAGTTAGCGTGACTTGTCAGAAGCTAGACGTTCCCCGTTCACAGCTGCCTCACGCGTACGTCCGAATGGCAAGAAAACATGCTCTCCTCAGCAGGCTAAACTGAAAAGCCACGGAGAAAGCACGGAGGGAAGGCACTTCCTTTTCTGTGCCTTGCTCGCTGCTGCTGTTGGAACCCTGTTAGACACCAAAGGTTCCCAGCTCTACTTCCACCTGGGCATAAACCACTTTTTTTTAATGTTGTTTGGGAGGCGAGTGGGAATTTCGCAGACGGGCTCTAGGCTTATTTCAGAGAAGGGAAAGGTACGGTTCGTAACGAGTGCAGAAATCGCCTCACGGCCTGTTGCTTCCTATACCTGGGTAAACAGTCCTGGACTCGAGTTGCTCAGAGCTAACAGGCTGCTAACCGGATTCGTTTTGCCTTCGAACTCACTACTGTAACGAGTGCTCGGAAGGCTTGTTTTAACGTGACATTTCTGCGCAGTTTGGTTAAACAAAGGTCTTTCTCTCCCGCGTAGGTGGGCGGATGGGAAGGGGCCTCTCGCAGCTGAATTCTCCGCAGCTGAAGTGAAGAGTCTGATCCGAGCCTTGTTCCAGAACACAGAAAGGAGAGCAGCGGCACTGGCCAAAATTAAGTAACTCCGTGTTTACTCCTACGCGTTGCATCTTCTGACGAAGCAAGAGCAAACCGAGTCTTTCAAATGCTTTGTTGGATTTGACCCTTCTTATTTGTACCGGTATAAAAAAGCTTAGCGTTAGGTAAGTGCTTCCTGGGGGCTTGACTGAGGGAGAAGAAACGTTTCCTAGCTCAATGTTTGCGGGGCAAAGAGGATGGCTGAGCCTGGGACCAGGAAATCAAGGTGGGTGACACGTGGACACTAACTGCCTGCGCTCCGTCTGCCAGGCAGACCGAGTTTGGCCTTGGAAAGTCAATCTCCTGCCACCTCCCCAGAGGCGTTCTGCCCAGATCCAGGCTTTCTGGCGAAGAGGAGATGCTTTCTGCGATGTTTGCTAGTTTCCATTCTCTAGCATTTCATCTTCCTGTTAGGCCCAGCGTAGGGAAGTCAATCCAGTCCTGTGTCCAGCATCTCTCTGTGAGAACAGGCGCTGCCCGCAGATGGGCCTCTCCTGCAAGGTGCTGTATGATGCCAACTCGAGCTTGCTTGCTTAAGGGTCTTGTAGAGGGATTTTGATTTCTCAATAGCGAATCTTATCTATGCAGTTTTACGTCGGGGGCGCGGAGCCCCTTTGTGTCTTACCTCTTCTGTCCCTGCAAATTACACGTGAAACCCGCAGACTTTGATAGCTTTTGATATCCTTCTAAGGACGCTGAAGTGCCAAACTTTGCTCTTTCCCACCCCGGGTTTCCCTGAAGAGCAGACCTTGAGAGTGAAAATTTGGGGGGGCGGGGGGGAGAGGAGATCCTCTCCCGAGTGAACTGCTTATCGAGTCACGGGGTTTTGCCCGTGTGGCAGAACTCCTCCTGGCTTTTGAGAATATCTTAAAACTGACTTAGAATTTCTCAGTCTCACTTGACCACCTGGAGAAGGTTAGGGTTCAGCTCCTTCCTTTACCTTTGTGTTGTGTGTGAACTAGGTAGGTCTGGCATCTGTTGTCTTTCTGGTAGTAAGTTTTCTGTCCTTTAAGAATAGCGAGAAATGTAAATGCGTATAAAAAGGGAACGACGTGTGCACTCGTAGCATTATCATTTAAATTACAAAGGGCTCCGTTTGAGACTTTGAGAAACGTACGCTTCTTTTAATTGGAAAATTCACCAAGAGCGTTCATTAAAACGTAGCCGAGGCCAAGACGTGCCAGTTGCTGCGCACGTGGAACAAAGCATTTCCTACCACCTAGTGCTTACAAAAGTTTCCATCCCAGAGCTTAACGGTTTAATCTGTCAGCTGCTGTTGCATCCTTTTCATTCGCACTTCTGTCTGACCTGCGTTCACATTTGCAAGCGTCCGTGCCGGGCCCGAGTCGCAGCTGGCTTCCCCGTTGCCCCTCCGTCGCTGCAGAGCTGAGCGGCCATTCCGCCTGCGGGGGGGCAGGCGGTGAGGAGACCCTCCTGCTTCGGGCTTCAGCTGGCGGAGGGAGGGGGCAAAGGCAGCCAAGCTGGCAGCTAGGCTGAGCCCGGCACAGCAAGGGAGACACTGAAGCAAAATCTGCCTGCCAGTTAAAACACTAGCGTTTTCTTATCTTCCCCTCCAAGTAATTTATCTGAAGGCTGCGAGTGTTCCCGTGACGCTTCCACCTCATGGGAGCCCCTGCCCCTCTACGCATCGCAATCCAAAAAACCACGTATTTTGAAAAACACCCTTTCTCCCACGTGGATTGTTCACACAAATGTAATTTGCTATTTTCTTTAATAAACTATTTATACCGAGCATGTTTTCTAGTGTTGTCTGGGGATTCTGTTAGGGTTATAGTAACACGGTACGAGTTAGTCCTGGACCGTTCTCCACTTACTACGCGGAAGGGGCAAAGTGCTGCTCTCTGAAGTCTCCTTGCCTTATTTCTAGTAGATCTAGTCAAAAAAAAAAAAAAAAAAAAAAAAAAAAAAAAAAAAAAAAAAAAAAAAAAAAACCAAAAGA